AACAAATTAGCAGCAAGAAACCAAGTTTGACAGGCACTGCCAGGSAGGCTGAAACATCCAGGAAAATAAGTGTTCTCCCCAGTGACGGAGCCTCTTTCAAAAGCTATTTTTACTCACTGCGAACCCCCGGGTTCACAGAAAGTAAACCGATCCATAAAAATACATAGTAAATAATTCCACACGTATCATGCTCATTTGCATGTGAATTAACCCAATTTATGGCCATAAAGGCAGACTTTGTCCGTGCACAGAAGATGCAAACAAGTAGCAGGGGCAGAGGAGAGCTGCCCACGGTTGAAGATTTGTCACATTTCTGCACCACTCGATATTAATACTTGCTGTGCCTCAAACGAGGTTAAAATGACGGTGACAGCTCAGATCTGCGTAGCGATAGATAGATAAGGAAGAGAGAGATACAAGAAGTTCTTATATCTTCCTTTTGTGTTTGCATTCTCTTCCAGGTATAGATCTCACAGTGTCTGTTAACTGATTGTTTCTTGTAAATAAGTAGGAAAAAAAAATAGAACAAACAGCAACCAAAAAAAAAAAAAAAAAAAAAAAAATCCATTTTTCTCACCCGATTGCTTATTAGATTTGATATTGGGAAAAGCCCTTGGTTTACTCCAAAAAAATAGTTCTGTTTTCTGCTGCTCACTGTCATGTTTAAAGTAAATAAGTTCTTGTCCCTCCAGCGCTGCTGAACTCATTCACTCCCCAGAACAAAGCCATTGTGTGGAGGTCCACAAGAGCCCTTTTCTCTCCTTCCCCGAGCGGGATCTTCCCCGTCTCCCCAGCTCTGTGAGCCACTCACCACCGTGCCAGTGCTAAAAGTGTGCATGCTTTATTTCACAGAAGAAATGAAGGAAGATTATGACACTATGGGGCCTGAAGCCACAATTCAGACCACAGGAAACAATGGTACAGGTAAGACCTTGCATGGTGTGAGCATCACTTTTCTCTGGGATCACGTAGAACTAGCTGTGCATGGAGAGTGAGAGTGACAAAACCATCTATTTCATGTTTTCAGTWGAACAGTTGGGAAATGTTGACATAATTCTCCTGTTTTTTTAATTTTCCCCTCCAACTTGATCAGGAGAGTGCAGTGAAGAGTCCTTGCTGCCCCTCCCATGTCCCACAACATTTCAGCCCCAACTCCTTGCAGCTCATCTTTGGGTGGTAAAAGTTCCCAGCAGTGTGAGGAGATGTTTTCCCAGCAAGGGTGAACTTTGGATAGGTGGAAGTCGCTGGGCCAAGGTACATCAGCCTTTTAATGTGCCAAGAGATTGATAATGAGGATGGGGAACCCCAAATTAGGGTGGTGCACAGAGTGAGCTGCTTCAGAGGCTGAAAACATCCTTTCAGCAAGACACACATAAACTCCTTACATAGATACACACACTTTAAATGCATATTTATGAGATTATAATGTTTCTGGCTAATCTGKTTTTTTTCACCCCCCCACTTTTCGCATCTTTTCTTTCCCCTCTTCTTAGAAATCAATACATTTGGTGGCACAAGAAGTGTGACAGAGATATTTAGCTGGCATCACCTCTGAGCTGTCTTTTTCTGTAGCAGAGCAAACCAGCAAAAGGTTTCTGTTGCTATTTTCTGATCCAAATGAATTCAGGGGTTTACCATGTTCTTTCCAAAGGCCCCACTCCATCCTCAGCACAGCTGAATGCTGTACATCACCCAATGTTTCTTTTGCATTTTGCCAAAATTGGAGACGTTGCAGATAGATTTACACAGCTAAAAGGAAGAGTTTTCTAGCATAAGTACATTTCTATGCATTCCATTATGAAATTTAGTTCATAGGTAATACTATCCACAAATATTACTGTAAAAGGTGGTACCAAAATCTCGCAAGGATTTTATTACTCACACTTTCCTAATGTTGGTAACACCCACATAAAACCCAGCGCTCTTATTAAGCAACACAAGAAATTTACTTTATCRTTCTTGAGGGGGGGAAATAATAGGAAAATAAAACCGTGTCACTGCTTTCTTAATCCGTTAGATTTATTATGCAAGAAAGGAGGGTGGCATCGAGGCACAGTTCATCATTACGTATRTACTTAATGATATTACTATGCAGAATTGCCTACATATGTATCTCAAAAGTTTATTTTTTTTTTCCAAGAGACGGTAATAAAGTGACAAATTGTTCTTAGYGCTTGGAGAAGCAGGACTTTAAAAGAAAAAACTCAGAAATAAGACTTGATGGTTATCTGAATTACCATTACCAGAGCCTTTGAGGTCCCCTATCAGTCCGTGTGACTTCCTTTGCGCATATTTTCCTTACCATAACAGGCCTTGACTCTTTCATGCTTGCAGTGTGGTCTGCTTGAAGGGGAAGACTTCATGTCCTCTTAGTCCCTTCYGTTCCGGTATCTGATGGTCTCGTCTTCCAGCTCACCGTCAGCCTCATGACACTTCTGGGCACGGAGAGCCATCAAGCCCTGGCACAGCCCCTCTGCTAACCCTGTCTGGGGTCCCTGGGGTGTCCTGCCTCCACTGGAACCAGTTTTCCATGGCAAAAATAAGAGTTACCCCTRCCCAGCTTGGTGCACTGTGAACTTGTTGCTCACGGAGCGCTTCATATTTAGGTGGTGTGCATTTAAAATGTGAGAGCTTCTCTGGATATTGCTCCTGGCAATTCCTTCCCCAAATGTCCTGTGTAAGTCCCGGGCTCCTCTTTACTCCAGTCATGATGGGAGGCTTGCTCAAATAATCATTTCCCAGTGCTCTGCAAGTGTTTAATTCCAGTCTTTTGTCACTGAAGTGTTCAGAGCCTCTTCCAGCAGAGGTTGATACCTTGGCAGGTTGGGTAGAACATGTTTCTTTAATCGCTGCACTCTCCCTAGTCTCTTAAGAGCAATGTCAGGTTATTCAGTCATATTAAATAATCTGATAAATTAAATGTCTTTGCCAATCTTTTCACCTTGAGTGGAAGGTGCCATGAGGAGCTGTAGTATCCTTTATGCAGTGTAAAAGCTGCCCTTCGTGCCCAATAAGGTGCCTTAACCATCATTTGATGAGGAAAGGGAAGAAATCACTCCCTGACTTGTTGGAGATCCTTCCTGGATAGTCTGGGAAATGCTCAAAGTTTTCTTCTTCAGCCTCACTACAGGCTTTGGGACTGTCTGGACTATTTGGCCTCAATTGTTCCCTGCAGGTTATAGGGGGATTTAATACTGAGGTTCAGTAAAATAGCTGAGGTGAGGCTGGGACTCRACCCAATGGAAAAACTTGGATCAGCGACTCCGTCTTCAGCAAAAGCCATTCAACAGTGACTTTTTGGTCTCCTAAAGCCATTTAGGGATCCTACAGATTATTATGGGCTCTTCCAGACAGGCCAAGGGGTTCTCTCTCTTTCAATACAATATTTCTCRCCATCTTGACACCAGATCTCCCAGTGCTCCATGACCTGGGCTGAACACAGAGACAGGAGATATTATTTTCAGACTCACTCACACCCAACACCAAGTTTCTGTAGGTGCAGGCAATATCTGTGGTGYGTTTTTAGCATCACTGCAGAATATCATTAGCAGAGAAAGAAATCTTAAAGTAAAGGTCTCCATTATTAAATTATTCTGCTATTGTCAGAGTGGCCACTTCCTAGATTTCACTTGAAAGAGAAATCTTGTTATCCATACATTAATCAGCTGCATTTTTATTATGAGCCATGGAGGCTTCATAGTGAAAAAGCAAAAGTGACCRTTAGGGTGAAAATTTAAGTCTTTGKCCCTGCTAAATGAATTTGTAAATATTTCTGAGGATTTCTGCAATAGTGGCTTGGAAATGTGTTGTTTAGCAGAAGAGGTTTTAAAAATGTGAATGAAGAAATTCTTATGGTTTATTTTATTCTACCTTTTATGGTTATTGCAACTGGGATGCTTGCAGRGAATAGATTAACAAAATCCCKGTAAACAGACAGAAAAATGTTCCCRKTTTCRATTGCTAACATCTGACAAACTTCAAGCAAAGATCTCTTAACWTAATTTAAAGAAGGGAAAGAAAAACTTTCAGGGGGAGGAAAACAGAAGTAAAACTTGGCAGGTTGGAGGGCAGGCCGTTTTCAGGCTGTAATCTGTGTGTACCAATGGGGGCCTCTCACTTCCTGGCTAATGAAGKCTGTGGTTTTATTAGCTTTGTTTGCGATTAAGGGCAGCTATCACCATCTCACAGGACGAGTTCCCACACAAAATAACTGGTCTCCCAAGCTCCTTGGACCTCTCTCCCACTTTATCTTGAAAGGTCCTAAATGCCTCCAAAGATAGCTTTCCTTAATGTGTTTTATTTTCATGTGACACAGCCACATCAGCTTTTGGAGCTGAAAATATTTCTGCTCTCCAGGCTCCAATAATTAATTTTAAAAAGGCTTATTGGGTGAGGTCACCCACCGTAGATCTCGCTGAAATTCTTGCTTTGTGGGAGGGGATGAGCAGTTTGTGTGTGGTGTCAGCCCACAAGGAGTCTGGGAACATGGCTGTGTGCATGGAAAATAAATCAGRGCATGGAGGGRRGAARCAAGTCTTCCAYCCASAAGTYRAGARGGAAGCCTAGTGATTGTCAGATGGRTCTTTTGAGTACCCCTGGRTGARGTTCCAGCCATGYCTGAATTATCAGTGACCCCACTGGTGAGAAACCAGACCCCCATGGTCACYCTTGGCTCTTTGTGTTAATCTTCAGCGTTGCAGCACGAGCTGTATTGTTTCAGTGAAGGATCTATCAGCTTTTCCACTAAATCCCCTTGTTTTTAGGGGTTTATGATGTAGACATAAACATTTGCTTTAGCTCCTGGATTGCAKGAACAGACATAGAAGCTAAATAATCCCGAGAATTAGGAAGCCAAGGCCGGTAATATCGCAACAGTCCTCCACAGCCTGTTGGATCAGCCTCCAGATAGGCTTGGGGCAGGAAAGAAGAACMTGATTTGGGTTTGAGTTTGGGATGGGAGCTCCTAATATTAAGTCACGCCTTGCTTGGTGGCTTGAATCCTAATCCTATAAATGCAGTTGCAAACTCCAAGTGCCCCTAGTTTACCTGCAGGAAAAAAGAGACTCATGGAACCAGCCCACAAAGCCATCCCATTGCTCCTCTCTGGAGAAAACCTCCTCTCCTTGCTTCACAGGTAGCACTTATTGGCTCATGGCCTAGATTTGGCAAAAATAAACTTGTTTTCCTTGCATCTATTGCTAAGACAAGAGAGGGAGTGGAGYTTGGGTAGTGTAAAGTCAGAGGGTGGATGATCTGGTAACACTTGGAAGATCTAGGTGTAACAGAGGAAGGAAAAGTTAGATTTACAGCATGAAAATTAAAGCCTCAGCTTTTTTTTTTCTGATAAAAACAAAAAGTCCTGTACCTACTCTGATGCTCTTGTGCATGAGGTGTACTCAGTAGCCACCATTTTGTTGTATTTCTCTCCCTGAACAAAATGGAGGTAAAATACTCTGTCCTCCACACTCACACTCCCCTTCTCCAGAAGCTGCTTTATTTTGGGGTTGAAAGAAGAGAATTTTTTCTCAAGCTAATAACAAATGGCACCAGGAGCTGCAGAAGGACCAAGAGGAACTCTGTGGCTGTGTAGCCATTCCCTACAAAACCACCGTGATAGGAACAGAAGTTTCCTCCCAAAACCGGGGTCCTGTGCCTTGTGCCATTTGGTCACTGTCACTAAAATACTGCAGAATGGTTGAGAAGCTGCTCAGCTCATATGAAAAAATAGGGCATATTTGTCTCAGCCAGAGGATTTGATTTTATCGGCTAAAGGGATGAGGTTTACAGAGACGGATATCTACTTTTATCGATGACGCCGAGATCAGCGCTTCAAATCAGGCGCTGYAGCCTCCCGCTTGTGCCCCAGTCAGAGGTCACATCTCGTTTTCACTGCCGGCGTCACAGCCTTGCATTTTCGTAGGAAACTGAGGCTGAGCATTTCTGAACCCCAAGGAGCTGGTTAGTCTATCATTTCCAGTGGTTACAAACCATAAACCCCTTGATTTCCACATTTACTCCATATTGCTCCCTGGCATCACTGAGAGCAGCACTGTGCCGTTTAGTATTTTACATGAACTCCAGATTAGTTTATGGTGTGGCCTYATTTTCTTATTTCACCTTAAGCAGAAATACACTAAAAATTTAATCAATCATAAGCTGTTTTTTTMATTTATGATCAGTTTAAAACAAATATCTTCAGTTTCCTGCCACCAACTGTGTTTTCSAAGACTTGTTAATAAACAAAGAAAAACAATTTAAAGAAAGAAAATCATGGGTTTTTTTTATTCTTTTCTAGCATAATTACATTATTATTTGTCTATAACATCCCAGAGTTTTAAGGCCTTTTCTGTAAGTGTGTTCATACACGGAGGAGAAAAACACATTTTGAGTAACAGGATGCTTTGTGGCTGAACATGTATTATGTTTCATGGACATTGCCTGGATAATAAAAAAGTGGTTTAACATTTAAGGAAAAAAGGAAAACTCTTGTACAGAGAGTCAGAGTGGTTTTGGGCTTGGTGACCCTGTTATGCACTAAACCAYGTGGTTCTGTTGCAGAAATCATGAAACAATAAGTTTTTGAAACAACCTGTTCTCCCATTATAAGTTAATTTTTCAGGAAGGGAAAAAAGGGGGGAAGATGCGAACAATTTTCTTCCTGTGCCCGACAAAGAGCAGCCTAARTCAGGACCTGTCTCAGAAAGTTTGGTCTTTTACTGCCTGCAACTACCATCTCCCACATGGAGACTGTCTTGGGGTCTGCAGGGTCCAGGGGCAGCAGGATTCAGTCCTGTAGGTTGGGCTGTGCTCACACCAAAATCCGTGAGTCCCCCAGGAGCCCCGTGAAGGTTGCTCAGGTTCCAGCAATGAAAGATTACCTGCATTACCCAGGCCTCGTAAACCTCTCCTGCTGCCCCGTAGAGCCYGTGCTCTTGTTAATTTAACTGCCTGCCCTTCCTTCCATGCAGGCTGGTGGAAAGCCCACATTAATTTTATTGGGAGCTGGAGCAAGGCYGATGAGAGCAAGGATCCAGCTGCAGCCCCAGCCTCGCAGCCCCAGTGCATCTGCTCAACCTGTAACGCTGCTGCTCGGCCCCAGCTCTCCGCGAGGATGTGCTCAACCGCCCTTTCTTTTCCCCTTCTCTCGTTTTAGTGAAGAACGCAAATTGCACGTCGGACTTTGGGGATTATTTTGCCAAAGGGAAACTGGAGGAAGGAGACGGGCATGCAGTCAGCATAGCAGAGTACCTGCAGCGCAGCGACACAGCCATTATTTACCCTGAAGCCCCTGAGGAACTGTCTCGCCTTGGCACTCCAGAGGCCAATGGGCAAGAAGAAAATGGTGAGGCTGTATTTCATTTTTAGCCAGTATCCTGACCTCGTGCAGCTGTTGCAATTATAAATGCACTACATGCCTGGGTGTTTACCTTAAAAATTGAAGAACAGCTGCAGCGGCATGGAATTTCATGAGCAAAGATTGGGGCTGTAATTTCAGTGTATTGTGATTTTTTAGTCAGCACATTTGTATTATTTGGAGGGTGAACCGAAGAGCTGAATTTAAACAGGAGAAAGGGCTGCGGCTCTACTTGGGAATTTGGGAAGTTTTAATAGAGTTTTAATGCAACAAAAGACGGGGTAGCCCTGCCTATTGCTCTCCAACRCCTCGATAAATAATTGGAGAAGAGTCGGTAGGAAGGATTGGGTCAATGGCATAAGTAACGTAATGAGCTGGGGCTGGAATGCAAATTGCCAATTGATCAGGAAAAGAGTTTCTTAGTTTTCCAGCCAGCCAGGTCTGCGGGAGGAGTGATGCCCATAATTAATTTCCCGGCGGGGTCCGGAGCGAGCCCCGCGAGTCTGCCGTGGGCGTGCACGGGTGCCGGTGCCTCCCGCCGCCGGTTGGAAGCGCCGTCCCTCCCTCCCTCCCGGGCGGCAGATTGCGGCGATTCCTCTCATACCATCCCGGGCAATCAGCCCATGAGCTGCCATTGATTTGCTGACCTTTTGGCCTGCCTCTCTTTCCCCCCCCATCCCGGGGCGCAGACCTGCCACCTGGAACTCCAGATGCCTTCGCCCAACTGCTGACCTGCCCCTACTGCGACCGGGGCTACAAGCGCCTGACGTCCCTCAAGGAGCACATCAAGTACCGCCACGAGAAGAACGAGGAGAACTTCTCGTGCCCTCTCTGTAACTACACGTTTGCCTACCGCACCCAGCTCGAGCGGCATATGGTGACACACAAGCCAGGGACAGATCAGGTGGGGGGCTGGTTTTAAGTGATTTCTTTCTGTAATAACCCCTTAGAGAAACGATATTGCTTTGATTGGCAATCATTATTAATTTTTCATGGCATTTTGAAGATGCAGATCTTTTAATGGTAATAGCTTTAATTGAGGTCTAAATGATTTTTTGATGGTCTCTTCTAATATGATTTAATAGTCTTATGTTCACGATCGAATGAGTGTGTTAATTTCTAATTTAGAAATTTTATTTGCACTTTAACTTGACTTTAGTTTCGTTTTTATGTTCCTCAAAAAGTGAATGAAACTGTAGCATTTTAATTATACATTATTAAACATCTCAGCAATTTTAATTCCATTTTTCACCTAGTTTTACTTCGCAGTGTTGCAAGTAGGAGCTCCAAGACATACTAAAAGATCCGCTAATATTTTTTCATTACTTTTTGAGTAACCTTTTCAATCACACGAAATTATGCGTGKTTTGTATAATCGTTTGTTAGACGTAATTACACATTTTGAGAAGAACTCTTCCGACAGTAYGTACAGGCTATCATTTGTGATTGTGCCACTAGAATTGGGCATTGCTCTCATTTGTATAGCCCGGCAGCGTATCTGCAATAAATCAAAGCCGTTTTTTCCTCGATGGGGTACGTGTAATATTATATCAGTGCCGCATTGAAGGAAACGCTGCGTGTCTCAAACAGGTGACCGAGYTTCCCTAGCGCTCCTAGATGGGCTGGTGATAGACCTGAGCCACAAAATTCTTTAYACGCCAGCAGAAAAACTGCTCCTTGCTGGAGAATTACTTCTGAAAACCCATCCTAAGGAGGGCCGTAATGGAAACTCAAATGGSGTGGTTAAAAGTTGAATAAATAGATGTGTGCATTGTGTCAAATTATAAAGGCTTTATGCCGTATTTATTTTTCTTAAAAACCTGAAAATCACGGCCAGCTGGATTTCTCTTGGTAGGTTTTTCTCAGCATAAGGTGAATTCAGTTAGGCAAAACACACATCTTCCTAATCACGCCATTTTTGCAATTAGCATTTTTAAGAGAACCATATCTTTTGCTTGATCTTAAATCAATATAAATGACTTCAAAGTGCTTTCTCCTATTCTTTCCTTCCCATGGCTTTTCCAGTAGACAAACACATTTTCYCATGTATATTTTCCCTAACCTGATGCACCGTAAGGTTCTTCCTTTTGCCTCGTATCATTAAAAACACCAGGGGAGGGAACAAAACCCGCCTGGATATTTATCCAACGTAACGGCCTGAAATTTCACATGCGAGAGCGCGCCGGTACTGGCGCATTATGAATGGTAGCTTTGGTGTTGAAAAGTCCCCTCATTTGCTCATGGCATTTACAATTAGTAAATTAAAATGATTGTATCATATTAACAGTGGCACAACTAAAGTTTATAGTAGTCCTCGGAGGGCGATGGGGGGAGACAAAACAGCTGTTGCTGTTTGTTTATGCAACTCAGCAACATATGAGCGCGGGTCCCTCAATGGCGCGCGGCGGGCTGGGCTCTGCTTGATCTTTGAAGGTTGCTGCTGTTTGAACAAACCTCCCTGTGTCCCATGTAACACCATCTGTCTCGCCAGGAATGTGGGAAGAGGCAGCACACCCTCGCAGTTGTCATACCGTTTCGGCGCTGCCTTTTTTTTCTTTTTTTTTCCCCTCTTCTTTTTTTTTTTTTTTTTTT